TGGTATCAAGAACAGATTTCTTCAGACAACCAGCATGACCTAGAACTTCTCTCTTATCTGAGTCTTTTTGCTATTTCTGGCCAAAACTGAAAAAAGTCAAACTGATTTATAGAAGAACATGAGCAAAGCAAAACCCTTGACCAGAAGGACTGAAAGCACAAACATTAGTAAGAAACCATTTCCTTTTACCTGCCCTGCCCCCTCTTTTGGAAGTGCCAGTAGCAACTACAAAAACAAAGATAACTTGTAGGGCCAAGGCCAAAGGTGCTGAAATCTGGAGGCCCAGGCCCAAAGGCACAGACTTTACCTCTGTGAAGGAGAGACCTGGCAGCATCCCCAACAAGCAGGCAGCGAGCCTGATGAAGGCTGAATGAGGGCGTACAGTTCCACAAGGCCGCCTCTGCGCTGGACCAGAGGCCCGGATGCCTAGTGATCTGCAAAAACGGGTTTACGTAACAGTCCTCTGTGCTGTCCCAGATAAGAGTGAGTAGAGGAGCAGTCAGAGTGTTTTAAGGATTTAGAACCAGCTGAGATTTCCTGGGGGACAGTGAGGTGGGCAGGAGTGAGGGGTGGGGGACGGGCAAATTCAGACACAATCTGCCCAATCTAGGGAGAAAAATGGTAACAGCAGCAGTAATATAATAAATCCTGACATTTGTTTATATCCCAGTCCTTGTTACCTACAACAGCACTTTGGGGATGAACAAGAAGTGGGTAACACTGACTGCTGCTTCCTAGAGGGCATCAGGTGACTTGGGGGAAATCCTGGGAGGGGCGCTTTTTACTGTATACCCTTTTAAGTCTTTGAAAATTTGAAATTTGAACCACGTGAATGGATTATCTTTTCAAAAATATGTCAAGGAAATTTTTAACTATTTTAAGCATGTCCATAGTTTCCCAGCAACCCTAACAGGCAGGCAGGGCAAAGATCATTAGTCCCATTTCACAGGCAAGGAAGGCTAAGGCTCCAGGGGAAGCAAATTGCCCATGGTTGTGGCAGGGTTGGAAGTAAGGCTCAGACCTTCAAACTCCTAACCCAGCATCATCAGAGCCTCCATGGTCAGACGGGGAATCTAACCGCACATTGATTCGCCCTTTAAGTCCAGGCTTGTAGCTACAGTTAAATAAATCCACAAGGGTGCAGAAACTGATCGCCATATACAAAGCCTTACTAACTAGCACAGCAGCGTATGTGAGCTGTTTAGAGCTATCTAAATGTTCTGGTTAACTGATAAATACCCTGAAACTCTTTGGGTATCAATGTTTATTACTGAAAATCTTCCTAAAATGCCGAAGTCCACATTCTTCTCTCAGAGAGTACAATGACCATAACTGCATAACGTCCTAGGTTCATTAACCTTCAAAATCTCAGGATCATCTTTATGAACTCAGAGTGAATCAGAAAGGTGGTCAAGTGTAAAAATGAGCACTGGGCTGAAGAGCCAGCTGGACCCTGGGTTCAAATCCTAGTTTTGCCACTGACTTGTAACTCAGGTAAGCCAGTCACTTCACTTATCTTGGCCTCAGCTGTTTTTTATAGAGAACCAAGTCACCTGGTGCCAATTAACAGGCATGTACTGAACTCCATTGCCTCTGACACTGGACAACTGGATCCCTGTGTCAAGGAGCTTACCTTCTACAGAGGGAAACAAACAAACCAGGTAATTTCAAATCCTGATTAAGTGCTATGACCAGACACACTAGATTAACAAGATAGACGGCCTGGAAGATCAGGGAAGGCCTCTCTGAAGAGGTAGTATTTGCGTTGGGACGTGAATAATGAAGCAGTGTTTCCACAGGGATCTAGGGGCAGAGAATGACAGGCCAGGGAACAGATGCAAAGGTCCTGAGACAGGAATGTGCCGGCCATGTCTAAGGGACAGAAGGGCTAGTGAGAGCAGGGAGTGAGGGGCAGAGTGAGGGGGATGAAATCAGAGAGGCAGACAGAGACCCATCTCTTCAGGTAAGGAGTCTGGATGTTATTCTGGTTGCAATGGGAAGTTACTATAGAAATAAAGGAATTTAATTAGATCTGTGATTTTTCAAAATTTTGTTTTGTTTTTCCTTTTTGTCTTTTTTACTGACCAGTAACAGGATCGCAACCCTCGGTGTCACACCCGTACCGGGACCAGCAACGGGATCGCAACCCTCGGTGTTGTGCCCGCACCTCGCTCAGCCAGTGAGCGGGAACCAGTCTCCACATGGGATCCAAACCCTCGGCAGGAGCGCCGCCGCACTCCCAAGCAGCGCACTCTCCAGTGTGCCACTGGGCCAGCCCAAAATTTTGTTTTTTAGATAAGTCTTTAGTCAAATAACAAGTGGAACTTCAATATACAACTAGAGAAAAGCAGTACTGCTCTCACTGGCTGGGAAGCTAGATAAAGCCCTTCTGAACCTCTGCCCTCTTAGCCTTCCCCTCACTCCACAGTACCTCTAAGCTCAGGAGAGCTGGAAACCACCGGGTGACTACCTCTAAAGTTCCTCCTGCTCTAACGAAACCCAGACTCACTGTAAAGCCCTACAGGGAGAGGAGATTCAGGAGACAAGACTGGATGCTTGCTGGACCCAGGACAGGCCCTGGGAAGGTTTTAAACTAAATCCCTGATGTGCACTTGCTTTCTGCAGAAACAACAACAATAAAATCTGCTTCATCAAGGGTTCCAGTTAAAATCACATTGCTGAAACTACAGGGACAGAAAACAGATCAGTGGTTGCCAGGGGATGGGGTGAAAGCAGGGATCTCGCTATAAAAGAGCACAAGGAGCTTTCTGGGTTGATGGAAATATTTTCTATCTTGATTTTGGTCGTGGTTACATGTCTGTATGTTTGTCAAATTCACAGATCTGTACTCCGAAAATGGGCAAAGTTTACTGTGTGTAAATTAAACGTCAAATAAACCCGACTTAAAAAAAGTCACAAAGCTGGAAGACACCTCAGAGGTATTTTACAGATAAGGAAACAGACCTCAGAAATCCTAACTTGAAGGACAGTGTCCCCTTAAGTTCCACTGCTGCTCAGTTTTAATTCTGAGCCTCTTTGGCAGACTGGGCTTCAGATTTCCCAGACTGCAAAATGAGGGGGTAAATAATTGCCAAAGCCTTTCCTATTCCAAACAATCAGATTCTAAGAAGCAATCTGCTGTAAGGGAAAGGCCTCAATGCTTTGGAGTCAGAAAACCTGGGGGAAAAATTCCTACCTCTGTCACTTTCTAGCTCTGTGCCCCAGCACAAGCCCTTCCTGTGTGAGCTGGGGTTAACAATACCCTCCAGTCAGCAGACAACACAATTTAAAACAGCTGGCTCACAACAGCCTCTCAGGAACGTGTTGCCATACGTACATAGTTCTGTTCCCAGGCCCAACAGGCTGCCACCTAAGGAGGACTATCTGGAGGTGACCATAAGGAAAAGAAAAAAATGAACTGCCCGGCACTGGGTTGCATAACTTGTGCGTGGGTGCACAGTACACCCTGGGTTCCGCTGGGCACAGGCTGTTATCTCGACAGGTAAACAGGAACACTGCTCCCTCCCTGACCACCGTCAGCACTGGGCCACCACCAATACTCCAGGCGCAGGCCAACAACTTTGGAGAAGGATGCCACTGCTCTTTATGCCTATATTTTCACACTCCACTTTCCCTGCGGCTGCTGGCATTATCACAGGGCACAAATTCATCCATGGACACACTCCACCCATCCCAACCCTTCCCTCGCCACCTGCTCCAAAGGGGTGATACCCAGTGACTCAAAGCTGCCTGCCTGCACCTTGCTCTTTTCCATCCCAAAGAGACCAAAACAAACAGAGACCCAGAAGACTGTAAAAAACCCTTCAGGCAAGAGTTTCTGCTCCCCAGTCACATCTGCTCTAGAAGCACTGTGGTCATGTGCAAAGACAGTTGACTTACTTTTTTCTCCACGGTGGGGCAGGAGAGAGGCAACACCCAGAAATTATCCCAATTTTACAGAAACAAAGAGCTAAGTATCCTGGCCAAAGGCAACAATGAGCAGGCCTACAGCCACCAGGAGAGGCGGAGCACACAGTGCACCAGGGCTCAAGTGACTCCCATCGCCCTGGCCTCTGTCCTGTGCGGCCCCCGCCCTGTGTGGCCCCTGCCCTGTGCGGCCCCTGCCCTGTGCTCTTCAGACTTGTCCTGAAGATCATGTGGACTCAAAACCATGCAAAAACGCAAATGATTTCTGAACAGTGCAGTTCAGTAAAGTCACTGAGTGTTTCTGAGAGCAGGAACAGTCTTCTTTCCTGTCCAGGGTCTCCTACTCGATTAGGGACGACTGACAACTAGTTGAGAAACTGATTTCATGCATCACAAATATTACTTATCAAACCAATGCCAGGACACTGTGGCAACTACATCCCGCTGTTTCTATTCGGAGCCATTGCCAAAGCTTGGTCCTCTCCCCCACCTTCCGGTATCTGAGAAGTTTTCAGTTTCTATCGAACTCCAGCTGGGGGAGGGGACCCAGCTGGCCCTGGTCGAGTAAGGTTCCACCACCAGGTCCACAAAGAGACTGCAGAGAGGAGGCGTGGCCAGGCCGGAAATTCTGACAAAAAGTTCTGGCCCTCCGGTGCTAATAGCGACTACTTCCTGACCCCTCCTAGTCGTGGGGGTGGGGTGGGGGTGTCGTTTATCTGGACGGGTTCCCCACCAGAGGGCCAAGCTGGGGGCTTCCGTCGCTGGGGCAGGGCCCGTCCCCCGCTCCCCGGGGCGCTCCGCTCCTACCTGCTGCAGAACGGACTACTCCAGGCTGCCTTCCGCCACCAAGTTATTTCGGAGCAAAGTCCCCCCAGGTGTGAGCTCGGGAGGGCACGGGCTCCGCCTCCGCCTCCACTCCCTCGCCCCCACCCCCCAGCCCAGACCCCATGGCCCAGGCCCGCTGCGACAGGACGAAGGGAAAGGAGAAGGAAAAGAGTCGCCGGTGCCCGCGTACCCCTGGCCCCGCCCCGCCTGCCAAGGGAGCGCCCTCCGGGCCCGCGCCGGCCGCCCACCTTGACCCGCTTGCCCTGGAGCTCCAGGGTCTTCATGGTGAAGTCGACGCCGATGGTGCTGCCCTGGCGCTCCGAGAAGGCGCCCGTCTTGAAGCGCTGCACCACGCACGTCTTGCCCACGCTCGCGTCTCCCACCAGCACCAGCTTGAACAGGAAATCGTACTGCTCGTCCGGGTCCCCGGGGCCCGGCCCCGCCATGGCCTCCGGGAGCCGAAGGGCCGGCGCTCACGCAGGCGGCGGGCAGAGCTCCGTCCGCTCCAGCCCGCGGACCGCCTGGCGACGTGGAACCGCCGCAACACCTGAACCCCCGGCGCCACCCGCCGGCCCGCCCCGGAGCCCCGCGGGCGCGGCGCCACCC